GGTGAGAAAAGTTCCGTGAGTTTTATCACTCGGCGAAAGGCACTTAAATATGAACCAGAACAAGTTGAAAAGCGAAACCCCACGGACGCTTTTATCTTAAAATTTTTGATTGTTCAACGGAAAGTTTTAGTTTTAAGCCAAGTGAAAATTAGTTTTCCTTTTGGATCAGAAACATTTTAAATGTGTGCAATTAAATAAAAATAATCCCAAAAAACTATCAAAGTAAAATCATTAATTTGAATGATATAAATAATATAAAACATGCAGGCTAATAAGCTGCCGATAAATCCACGCGAATCTGCGGGGATTTTATCCATCTTAATGTTCTGGTATGTATTACTGGAATCTTCAAAAAAATTACATTAAAATGAACAAAGTTCAGTTATGTAAAAATAGACCCTTATCAGTAGATAACAGAAGCTAAAAGATCACGTCTGTCACTTCTGATTATTGTGTTTGTATAAACTTTAATGGCAGTGGGTTGAGTAAACTCAATATTATGCCAACAGTTATCATAATATTTACTTATACATGTGTATTATTTTTCACAGCTTCGCATTGCCCATTCTTTTCAAGGGCAGAAAAAAGACTTTAGAGCCCACCGATCTTTATACGACTTTAAAAGGACATAAAGCAGATACTCTGGGCGATAAATTCTTTGAGACTTGGCAGGCAGAAGCCAAGTCCTGTCGGGATAAGCCCAAAAAGGAACCAAGTATTTTAAAGGTTATAGCAAAGGTATTCGGATGGAAACTGTTCGTATCCGGCATATTTTGTGGAATTTTAGAATTGGGAACAAGGTATGTAAGACATTTCATTTTATAATACCAATTATTTATTAATCTATAGTATTTTTCACATTAAAGAGCTTAAATAATTTTTTGTTTTCTTAAATTTGCCTACTTTTTTTCTAACAGAGCTACGTTACCTCTTATTCTGGGAGCTTTGATATCCGAATTCACCAGAAATGGAAATGGAGATGGACTATGGGCTCAAATTTATGGAATAACCCTAATTATCACTACACTGTTTTCAGTTCTTATGTTTCATCCCTTTATGATGGGTATGATGGTGAGTTTAAAGAGTACATCCGTGTTTGTTTAAGTAACAATATGTTTTAATTTATTTTCTATAGCATCTGGCCATGAAAATGAGAGTGGCAGTGAGTACGGCAATATACCGGAAAGCTCTTCGATTAAGTCGCACAGCTTTGGGAGATACAACGACGGGTCAAGTCGTTAACCTTATATCGAACGATCTAGGTCGTTTTGATCGGGCCTTAATTCACTTCCACTTTCTGTGGTTGGGGCCGCTGGAGTTGCTCATATCTTTGTATTTCCTATACCAACAAATTGGAATAGCCTCACTTTACGGAATCGGCATACTTCTTCTATATCTTCCGGTTCAAACCTTTATGAGCAGACTCACTTCGAAGCTGAGACTGCAAACAGCCCTAAGAACCGATCAGAGGGTTAGGATGATGAACGAGATTATATCTGGTATCCAGGTGATTAAAATGTACACCTGGGAGAAGCCATTTGGAAGGCTAATCGAAAGACTGCGACGCAGTGAGATGAGCTCCATTCGCAAGGTGAACTATATCCGAGGTACTCTTCTATCGTTTGAGATTACTCTGGGTAGGATTGCGATATTCGTGAGCCTTCTGGGATTTGTCCTGATGGGCGGAGAATTGACTGCAGAGAGGGCTTTCTCCGTAACCGCTTTCTACAACATCCTGCGACGCACAGTGACCAAATTCTTCCCGAGTGGTATGTCGCAATTTGCAGAGATGTTGGTTACCCTTAGAAGAATTAAGGCATTTATGATGAGAGATGAAACTGGAGTTCCGGAACTTGAAGTTGGACATATAAATGCGCTTTTCAAAGTGAAACCCCTTGTGGAATTACAATCTTTTCGAGCACGGTGGAATCAGGACCACGTGGAACCCGTTTTGGATAATATAAACATCAGTCTGAAGCCACCGCAATTGGTAGCTGTCATTGGACCTGTGGGTTCGGGTAAATCCAGCCTAATTCAGGCTATACTTGGAGAACTTCCTGGTGAATCTGGAAAGCTGAAGGTCGATGGGAAAATATCGTATGCCTCCCAGGAACCCTGGCTTTTCAACGCATCCGTTAGGGATAATATTCTATTCGGTTTGCCCATGGATAAGCAGCGATATCGTAAAGTCGTTAAAAAGTGTGCTTTGGAAAGAGATTTCGAGCTGCTTCAGGGAGATCGCACTTTTGTGGGCGAAAGAGGTGCCTCCCTATCCGGAGGTCAAAGAGCCAGGATCAGTTTAGCCAGAGCTGTTTATCGGCAGGCAGATACCTATCTCCTCGACGATCCTTTGAGCGCCGTGGATACCCACGTAGGTCGTCATTTATTCGAGGTGTGCATGCGTGGCTTTCTCAATAAACTGGTTATCCTGGTGACCCATCAACTGCAATTTCTGGAGCATGCCGATCTCATTGTGATCATGGATAAGGGAAAAATAACAGCTATTGGCACCTATGAGGAAATGCTCAAAAGCGGTCAGGATTTCGCCAAACTTTTGGCCAAGGAGACCCAGGAGGAAAAGGAAAATTCTGATAAGGTAAATGCATCTGGCGATGCGAAGGTAGATAAGTCAAATTACTCCCGCCAAAGCAGTGGTGTAAGTAGAAGCAGTATCACATCAGTGGATTCTGGAACGGAATCTGTATGGGAAGATGAAAGGCAACCCGTTGAGGAATCGCGATCCAAAGGAAAAATTGGATTGGACATGTATAAGAAATATTTTTCCTCGGGTTCAGGATGGTTTCTTGTTGTCCTGGTGGCATTCTTCTGCCTGGGCACTCAAATTCTGGCTTCCGGAGGGGATTACTTCCTGTCCTACTGGTAAGTAGTTCAATGAGTTGTATGTATCTTCCAATATTTAGTTCTTTACATTCACAGGGTAAAAAACAACGACTCCTCTTTTTCGTTGGATATTTACATATTTAGTGGAATCAATATAGCCCTAGTGATCTTTGCACTGGTTCGAACTCTACTCTTCTTCAGCATGGCGATGCACTCATCCACCCAGTTGCATAATACCATGTTCCAAGGTATTTCCCGAACTGCCCTGTATTTCTTCCACGCAAATCCCTCAGGCAGAATACTGAATCGATTTGCCATGGATCTGGGACAAGTGGACGAAATACTGCCTGCCGTCATGCTTGATTGTATACAGATATTCCTCACAATCAGTGGAATTATAGGAGTGTTGTGCATCACAAACCCTTGGTATTTGGTAAATACCATGACCATGTTCCTGGCTTTCCATTATCTTCGTAAATTCTATCTAAGTACTTCGAGGGACGTGAAAAGATTGGAAGCCGTTGCCAGATCTCCGATGTATTCGCATTTTAGTGCCACATTGAATGGCCTTCCCACCATCAGAGCTATGGGTGCTCAGGAATTACTGACTAAGGAATACGACAACTACCAGGATCTCCACAGTTCAGGATACTATACCTTCCTCTCCACAAATCGTGCTTTTGGCTACTATCTGGATCTGTTTTGCGTGGCCTATGTTATATCGGTAACCATAATGAGCTACTTTAATCCTCCTCTGGACAATCCCGGACAAATCGGTTTGGCTATCACCCAAGCTATGTCCATGACTGGGACTGTACAGTGGGGCATGCGACAATCCGCTGAGCTGGAGAATTCCATGACTTCCGTGGAAAGAGTGTTGGAATATAAGAACCTGGAATCGGAAGGTGAATTCGAGTCTCCAGAGGAAAAGAAACCTCCCAAAAATTGGCCACAAGAGGGTGAAATTAAAGCGGAAGAACTTAGTCTGCGTTACAACCCCGATCCTAAAACGGATAAAGTATTAAAGTCGCTGGATTTCGTTATCCAACCACGAGAGAAGATTGGCATTGTGGGAAGAACGGGTGCCGGTAAATCCTCCCTTATAAATGCCCTCTTCAGATTGTCCTACAACGATGGGTCCATGTTGATAGATGGTAGAGATATAGCTGAAATTGGACTACACGATCTACGCAGCAAAATCTCCATAATACCCCAAGAACCAGTGCTATTTTCCGGCACCATGCGGTATAATTTGGACCCCTTCGAACAGTATCCTGACGATAAGTTGTGGGAGGCCCTAGAGGAGGTAGGATATTGATAAAGTTATTCATTGCATCCTTACTTTAGTAATCATTTTTTCATAGGTTCATCTTAAGAAGGAGGTATCCGAGTTGCCGAAGGGTCTTGAAAGTATGATCGCTGAAGGGGGTGCCAACTACAGTGTGGGTCAAAGGCAATTGGTCTGTTTGGCCAGGGCAATTCTCCGCGAGAATCGCATCCTGGTGATGGACGAGGCCACGGCAAATGTTGATCCTCAAACAGACGCCCTCATTCAGACCACCATTCGCCGGAAGTTCAAGAATTGCACTGTGCTAACGATAGCTCATAGGTTAAATACGATCATAGATTCCGATAAGGTAATGGTTTTGGATGCCGGCAGTCTGGTGGAATTTGGATCACCCTACGAACTTTTGACGCAATCCTGGAGCAAAGTATTTTATGGAATGGTCTTGCAGACAGGGCGGGCCAGTTTTGAACACCTTCTGAAGCTGGCACATCAGGTGAGTAAAAGCATTAATATTATACGGTATTTTGCTAACTTATTTTTTACAGGCCCACGAAAGTAAATTGGTATCGGAATAAATGTCATTAGACGTTGGACATTTTTTTAAATAAGTGTACATTTTGCTATTGCTTACAATGATGAGAACCTTATATGTAAATACATATGTACGTAGTCCTAATCCATTTTGTTTAAATCAAAATATGAAACTCATAAAAAAGTTGTAGAAATACCATTAAGCTATTTTAGATGTAAGGCCGTTTTAAATAATAAAATGCAATGGTACACCTACATATGCTGGAAATGTCTTCATTTTAAATTTAACCGCGCAACACATTAAAGTATGACCGTTTGTTAGAAACCCCTTTGTTTTTATATCGAAATCGATAGGTTCAAAAAGTAAACAAACATATGAACGCGAGAAGAGCAGGAATTATATTAAATATGGCCAAAAATGTGAAGAAACTAACGTTGGCCAACAAATTGGCTAAACGAGGAGATGTGATAAAACCCACAGAGATAATTAGCAGACAGAATAGGGCTGATAATGTGAGGGTAAGTATTTCAGAATATTATGATTATAGCTGTAGTAATGACGCAGTTTCTAAACTTTCAGGATATTGAGGATCTAGTGGGTGCGGTAGGATCTAGTAGCTCTATTTACTTCTCCCCGATTCGGACCCGCAAGCAGCGCATCATAAATGGAGAATCTCTTAAAATGGAACCCCTTAAAATGGAATCCCTTAAAAAAGAACCCCTATCTCCGACTCGAGTCCCACCAAAAAAAAATAAAAAGGAAGATCATACGGTAACCAAAATTCAAGTGGGTTCCGCTACTGTAGTCAAATGTAAAGTGGTCCAAGAAGCTGCCGAATCTCCCATAAGGATTGATAAGATCAAGAAGGAAATGGAACCACAAATAAAGCAGGAACTGAATATACAAGAAAGCCTAGAGTCCTTAAAAACTTTTAAAACAGAACTGGTTAACCAATTGGATCCAAATTTATATCCGGAAGTACAAGCACCACATCCTTTATGGTATAATCATTTAGAAAACATACGCATCATGAGAAACTCTAAAAGTGCTCCTGTGGACACCATGGGATGCCATCGCTGTGCTGACTCCAAAGCAGATGCAAAGGTATTCTTACTAAACAGGATACAATTTATGGAATATTTAAAATAGTAATCATTTCACAGACCCAACGCTTCCAAAACTTAGTAGCCCTAATGTTGTCCAGTCAAACCAAGGATCAAACCACCTTTGAAGCCATGAATCGCCTTAAAGACCGAACTCTAACTCCACTCAAATTAAAGGAAATGCCTGTAACCGAACTGGAGAACTTACTGCATCCCGTTTCCTTTTATAAGGTTAGAAAAAATACATTTAAAATTTCTGAAATCTAATTGTTCGTACGCCTATCCATTGCAGAACAAAGCAAAATACCTCAAGCAAACTGTGGAGATACTTATGGACAAATATGATTCGGATATTCCGGATAATATCAAGGAACTTGTGGCTCTTCCAGGAGTTGGGCCCAAGATGGCTCATATATGTATGGCAGTGGCCTGGAATAAGATCACCGGAATTGGAGTCGATGTCCATGTGCATCGTCTATCAAATCGATTGGGTTGGGTACCGAAGCCCACAAAGGAGCCGGAACAAACCCGGATCGCATTGGAGAAGTGGCTGCCTTTTAGCCTCTGGTCGGAAGTTAATCATCTATTCGTTGGATTCGGGCAAACCATTTGCACTCCAGTGAAACCTAATTGCGGAGAATGCCTTAACAAGGATATTTGTCCTTCGGCCAACGTTGAGACTAAACCAAAAAAGAAGAGGGACCGATAGTAACATATTCTGCATGCCATGATTCAACACCAACGTTTATAAAATTAGCAGTATTAAGCGATGAATTGTGTTAACCATCTCAGGAAAAATAAGTTCCAAAGGGACTAGAAGTCCAAAGTGTTACATCGATCTAAGATACGAACATTTAGAAAGACCTAAACTTATAATTTTTCAGTTACATTCATTCCATTAAAAAACATTTAAAAAAAATAAAGAAACTACAATTGTATTTTTATTTTTAAATAATACGGCGTGTGTGTATAGAACTCAAATATTAAAATATATATCTGAATTTAGTATATACCAAAGCTTGGGTATTCTTTCAAACGCTACCTACGGTCACACTTGCAACTCCAAATTCGCGCGTTTTGTTGTTTACCGGCGCCCTATTGTGAAATTCATTTAAATAACTTAATTCTAAGCCATAAAAAGGCAGCAAAATGAACGATTCATGTAAGTTGCGGACGTATTATTACGAAAATAATGGAATCAATGGTTAAAACTCGTTTATAGTTGGAGATTTTAATGCCACACAAACTGCGCCCGCTGGAGCGGCCAGCAATCAGAAGGGAGAGGTGAGTGAATAAAACACAATTATTCCATAAGTTGTACATGTCTTTGGGTACCTTAATATAGGGAATAGTGCCGCTGGTGATTAAGCAGATTGTGGATGCCCCCGAGGGCAACATCGAGTTGTTTGGCATGCAATATGCGATGGCCTGTGTGGTGGGCATAGTGCGAAATGTCGAGACTTCCTCAACGAAGATTACTTACACCCTGGAGGATCACAGTGGCAGGATCGATGCGCACTATTGGCTAGAAGAAGGCGACGCCCTGAAGGCCCCCGAAGTCATGGTCAACAACTATGTGAAGGTCTATGGCACCACACGATCGCAGGGGGGGCAGAAAACACTGATGGTCTTCAAGCTGCTGCCCGTTTTGGACCCCAACGAGGTGTGCACCCATCTCCTGGAGGTGCTCAATGCCCGCTACAGGGCCGAGGATTACCAGAACAAGGGGGGATCTGGTGCAGTGGCTTCTTCAGGCTCCGGCTCCATAGCCGATTTTACCGCCTCCCAGAGCTCAGCCATTGTGAGTGGGCTGGATCCCAAGCAGCAGGCTGTCTTCCAAGCCATTAAGAGCAATGTCTCCGAGGAGGGTATCTCGCGCAAGGAGCTGAAAGCCAAGTTCTCACACATCAGCGACTCGGAGTTGACGTAAGCGATATTTAACCAGTATCTATTCCATGCACAATTGTAAAATTTCCGTTTATTTTTTTAGCAACATTCTGGACTTCATGATTTCCGAGGGACACATTTATTCCAGCATTGATGCAGATCATTTCATATGCACCATGTAAATCGAATCTTAAATCCAAAAATTGTAATTCTTAAAATGCGTATTAAATATATTAAGTTTATTAAAAAAACTCATTAACATGGCTCATTTTGTATGAAAATTTGAAAGTCTAATTCCAAGGAATATATATACGGGATCCGTAGGTATCCTTATGAATGCTCCTACTCAATTTGGAACACTACCTCCCATTTCTCGGCCATAATTTGAATGTTTTGAGATCTATATACATATATTCACAAGAATCTATACTGAACAGAATGCATTTTAGTAAAAATCAAATACAAAGTTTTAAACAGACATAAATTTAGAAAAGAATGTACTACATTGGGTACTTTACTTAAGAATTAAAAATCTAAATGTACTTATGAATTATTAAAAGAAAATGATTTGGTAATTGGATTAACTGCTTTTTCTCAGCTAAAAAATTGAATGCAAAACATAAAATATATTTGTTAGGTTAAATAAATCCGGTGGCGCCCTCTAGGTGGTTCGATCAGCTGTTTATTTTCACCACGGTTCAGACTATCAGCTGTTTGACACTTACGTTTGCCTTACGTTGAAACCCTTACGTTTGCTTATATTTCCCTTACGTTTGCCGACATCGGCTTTTGTTATTTTTCTCTCCTCGCGGTCGGTCGGTTTTAATAGCATTCTGCCTTAATCGCCGGCTTAACAACAGTCTTATCAATGAATTAGTTTAAATACCTCAGCTCAGCCAATTAAAGAAGCACAAAGTCGAACAAAAGCCACTTGAAACATGGAGAACAAACATAAAAACTGGCTGCAATCTCTGCTTCTTCTCGCACTCTTTCTTGGAAGTTTCGGTGAGTTATAATGCCAATTTATAATGTTTAATGGGGAAAATAAGTTTTGGCGGTCTCAAAAGCACGTAGAAAGTTTATAGTAAAGTTGAATGAACCCTTTGTTGCTGCGTTCACCCACACCAACAAGTGATAAACAACAACATTGACATTGCCGCTCCTCCACACAAACAAAAAACCGAAGAGAACTTTTATCTGACACACTTTCCAATTGGAGCAGCTGATTTTGGACAGTGGGACGAAAAGGTAGCAAAGGTGTTAAAGTTTTGAAGGTCAATAAAATGATTTGTTAAAGGTGTTAATGTAAAGCATTTTATTGATAGACACAATTCATTAAAATAAAATAGACTCTTGTTTTTGTTTTGTACACGTCATACGAATTAATAAGTATTTATTGTCTACGCTAACTCCCACTTTTATTTAAATTTGATTAATATTTAAAAGTTAAAATTGCAATCTTTTGGGATAACAATATATACAATCTTTGAAGTTTTTCAAAACACCAGAACACCCGAGACTAGCCGACCTTTGCTATCTATCATCCCATCTCTCCGTTGGATTATCTCTTCCTCAAACACATTCTTCCACTATTGGAAATAATGCCGCCCACTGTGCGGGCCACTTGTTGATAACCTCGACCCAGGCTAAGTAAATGAAAAAATATCAGTCTGTGGCTCTGCTTGGGTGAAAGTTATAACAATTCGATTTACTAATGACGTGTTCCATTCTTTCTTCTTTGCCCACATTTCTGTAGACCAGGGAAGAGCGGCTTTAGTCCCTCCAAACAGCCAGCAAATCTTCAGGCTGCAAAATCAAGTAATTCTCGAAGAACTGACGGGAGGTTCAAGTGCCAAGGAGACGAGCTATACATTTGAGACCGACCTTAAAATCAGTTCGGTCTGGAGTCGGGATGAAGATCAGCTACTGGAGGTCTTTATTAGCGGAAGTCGGGTGGATGCTTCTGGAAAATCTCGTCCCATTACCCAGATACCCGACAGACCTTTTTACATAAGTCTGGTTAAGGGACAGCCTGAAAAGGTCATAGCACATAGTTCAAAAGATCAGTCCGTGCTCAATTTGAAGCGTGGAATAGCTTCACTGCTGCAGTTGAGGTTGGACGGCTCACAGGAGGAAGAATTGGATGTTTCTGGCCTGTGTAGAGTGTCCTACAAAGTGAAATCCTCAACGAAAGTGGAGAAAACCAAAAGAGACTGTTCTCTATGGGATCTCAGGGTAAACTATCACCCAGAGGAAGCTCTGGGCATCACTCAGCAAGCCCAGGAGCAGGTCTCCTACGAACTTTCTTCGGAGGGAACTCTTCTGAAGGCAGAGTCCCTGGAGAGTCACCGCCTAAGCCTAGCAGCCAAACCGGATGTGGGAAGCTCTGTGAAGAGTACTCTTATCCTGCAACACATCTCCCAAGGATCAGAGGAAGTGAAGCAGCTGGAACTGGACAGCTTGGAGGAGGTCATCCAGAGCCTGCTAGACTGGAATCGCGTTTTCGAGCTGGAATCCGATGTAGATGGCATGATCAGCGAGATCAAGGAGCAAACTGTAAGCAAATGATTATAGATTTGGAATTTAAAATGAACTATATCTCTTTTTCAGCTTGAGGAACAATTGAAGGCTTCGCTGGAGGAACTGCAATCCGAGGACGTGGGCAAATCCTCACTAGCTTTGGCTTACGTCAAACTAATCCCCTTGGCACGCATCACTAGGCAAGAACATTTCGTAGATCTGCTCAATGAACACTCGCCACTCCTGCCCCAACTGGTGGATCTTTTGGGTGCCGTTCAAACCTTTGACGCTCATAATGCCACCTTTGGATTCCTATACAAAGAGGCGGAAACCACGAACGAGCAATTGGATCTGCTGGAGAAGTACTTGCAGTCCCTGGCGGTGGCCACGCATCCGGATAGGAAAATAGTTGAGCACCTTTACGGATTACTAGAGTGGGAGTCTATCCAAAAGCAGTTGAAGCTGAGAGAAAGCATTATCCAAACTCTGGCCACCTTAACGCATCAAAGCAGGTTCGATGTGGAAGATCCATTGCTGCAGAAGGTGCGAACTTATCTCCTGCAAGGTCTCTCCTCCAAGGAGCCCACATTGTATATCAGGGCTCTTCAGAATCTGCAGGATCCCGCCACTATTGATTCCCTGCTGGAGCAGGCTCAAAGTGACCAGGAGCTCAATTTGTCGGTGGCTGCTTTGCAGGCCCTGAAAGCTTTTCCTCCGCGCAGTCTTAGTCCCTCGCATCGCAAGCAGTTTGAAAATATTTTCTACCAGCAAAAGCGGCGCTTTGATAGCTCTGCTCGCACTCTCGCTTTGGATATTATCCTATCGCTCAGGCCAAGCCAGGAGCAATTGGGTCACCTGTTGGACTACCTGGCCTCTAATGATCGCCAATTTGAGATCAAAACCTATGTTCTGCAAAAGCTGCGAATGCTAGCTGAGCAGTGTCCTCGATTCAGGTCTTTGTTTGAAAAGGAGCTGGCTAAAAGGAAACAGGTCAACAACTACAATGTGCTGGGACAGAAGGGTAAGTGTTTTGCTTCTTTATGCTTAATATATAACCACTTTTTTAAACAATCATTTGTAGGTCTGACGACAGTCCTCACTCGCCAGCTTTCTGTGGCTCCTGCCTTCAATGAATCTCTACTAAGTACCCAGGAGGTGTACCAGGGAATCCTCAAGCGTGGCTCTGTGGAATTTCTGCTCCATGCGGGACGCTCCCAAGCCAGTAGCTTCAAATTGGGCATATACACTGCCGGTTTAGGTTCGCTGGTGGGCGATAGTGACTCCGATGATGGAAATGACCAAATACCGGCGGATGATGAACTGGGTGGCGAGGAAACGGTCACCGCCGGCATGGAGATTAGTGTGCAGGGCGCCCAGCTGCGACCCCTGATCTTTTTCAACGGTCAAACGGAGTTAATGGGTCACGTGTGGGGAGGAAGTGCCTCAGATTCGACGCCCGCCTACCAGGCAACCACCTTGGCCCAGGACAAC